TCAAGGTATGTAGCAGAATTTTTTGGTTCAGATTGCTTCATCCTAACGGGAATTACAACTGAATATTTGGGACCTCTTTCGAGTGAATCTCCCTGTATTTTATATGCCTGACCCTGCAGTACACTGACAAAGACTCAGACCTGCTAAACACACAATACTAGCCAAACTGCCACAACCTCTCACCTGACCACGCTAAATTTGAGACTGTAGTTGCCACCGCTCTGGATGATTGGAGGGTAGCACATCTCCACGGTTGAGGGGTCAGCGCCACCCAAATACTTCCTCTCCTCAATCGCCTTCTCTACAGACTCGGCTAGCCGACTGTGTTTCACTTTCTGTTAGAACACACACAAAGTTGGTTCCACCTCAGTATCAAGTGCAAAACCAAATGCGATATTATAGTACCAAAAGTTCTTGATTTACAAAATCATAGTGAAAGACTTGCAAAAAGTTACTCTGCACGCTGTCTTACTCGATCATTTTCCACTGCACTACACAATCAAAAAACAGCTTTCTGAATAACGTGGTTTTCAACATTTCCTTTCTGTTAAAAAACCAACCAGAAACCAAGAAGCTTGCACGGATGCTCCTCACCTCATCTGCGTCCACTATCTCCATGACCCTCTCCTTGAAGAACTTTGTGAAGACGTCACTGGTAATGGCGGCTGCTTTCTTCATCAAGTTCAGCTCACCGTCTTCCTTTACCGCCATCGTATATGCTACCACGGCACTGATGTCCACCTGAGAAAAACAAAACTCACTGTTTAATTATTTTATCAATACTGATCACCGCCAATTGCTATCTACATCAACAATACTATGAAAGTTGGGGGGGGGGGGTGTAATATGACATTTATAATGTGATATTTTCAGAAAATAATCAGAACACAGTTAGAAGAATAGTAGTAAACTATTATCCCAAGGAAGCTTGGACTATCATTCTGCACAAGCACAAAGTATTACACTACAGGTGTTTTACCTAAGCAAACATAGAAAAAGGAAGCCTATTCTGCAAAATAATAGCTGTACAAATATTTAGATGACGTTTCTGTAAGTTCTGTAAGTTCATGTTTGACATGGGAGCAAAGCCACTTGCGGTTCACTGTCTTTGGGCTTATCATGATATCTAGCATACGGTAAAATCCGTACCAATGACTACAGCAACAGCAGGCAACCATCTGAACCAACTGCTCCACTCAAGAACCTGTCCAACATTCCTTCACTCTCTTATTCCCCGATCGCTTTTAACCCTTAACTCACTTTCTCCAAGCCCTCAGCTGTGATCATGTCGTTCCAGCTCTTCATGTACTCCCCAGGGAATTTGTCCTTGATGAAGACGCCAACCGTCTTGCCTTCTTTACTTCCCCGGATCGCCTCAATCATCTTCTCAAAGTTGGCCTTGTTACTCTCGTTCTGAGAGAGAGCACAAGCAAAAACATTCATCACTGGCTGATCATTTGTATTCATTCCCACAATTGCAACTAGTTAGTACAACTAAACACAGCATGTTAGTGTAGAGTGATACAACATATCTACGCCAAACAGCAGCGTTCAACAAATTTGAAGCATTCTGCTTATACGGAACCACAGCACATGAAAACATCGGGGGTTCACCTGCGTTTCGTCATATTCCTAACACACATAAAACTTCACGTCAATGACATTTTTGGCTTTCAAGGATTACGACATTTCTACTGGAAGAACAAACCAGGAACGTAAAATGACATATTACAGTACATTACCTTCTCTCTGACCAACAGAGTGATTGGTGGGATTCCATTGGCGTTCTCGTTGCCCTTGGTGATGGCCACCTGTTTAAGGAACTCCACTTTCTTTTTGCTGGCCAAAAAGATGATCTTGGTCTCACAGAACACCATTATAGTGTCTGTCAACTCGTAACCAAACAACCACGTCTGCATGGGCACAAAGGAGCGAGAGAACTTTGTGTAGCAGCCTACTATAAAACATTCATCAACCAAATGAACAGAACTGGCAGAAAATGAACACGACCAACACCAAAATAATTCAAGCCACTGAACCCACAGATGGCATGTAGCTTAACCGACCTGAAGCGCGGTGGATTTGGCGTACACAATCTCCTCATCCACACCAACAGACACCACGATGGCATCCACCTTTCCAAACTCATCCTCACCTTTCTGTGGTCAGGAAAAGGGCAGATAAAGAATTGGGGAAAGCGTTATCAAACAGAACCGAAGGAACAGACCTGAAGAGCATTAAATACAAACGCGCATCGTTGTAAGTTAGTAAAGGAAATGGTGTTGTTCTTTAGCTAGGTAGCTTTAGCCAACGCAGCTAACGCACTGAAATAAAACACCGAGTACAAACCGATGACTTTGTTTCTTAAATCTCGCTTCCTTTCGGTATTTTTCAACTCGTGTAAGCTCTTAAAAAGTTTACAACGAAGCCAAGCTGGTCAGCCTGAATGCGTTACCCCAGGAAAGATGCTAGCCAGCCAGCTAACTAGCTAAGCTACAGAGGATAACATGTTAGCTAAACAGACGTCCAAAGCGCCACGGTGTCTCTATGATCCTTAACTGCAGGACATGAAGTTGGTATAAAGTACGTTCACTGTTTCACAGCCCGGTTATCGGTTTAATAAACAGTGAAAAAGCATTACTGCCAACACTGCAGCGGGTTAACGCGCCAGCTAGCACCACACTGGTGAGCCAACATAACGGGCAGGCTAAGCTAGTGCTTTATGCGGTTTTTTTTGTTTCTGTTTGGTCTCCTTTTTGCTGTGATTAAAAGAAGAGAAGGCGTTATTTGAACGCAGGAACGATAAACAGTTTCTACACATCCCAAAGAGCCGTTTTGCAGCTTCGGACGGGGATTACACAACGGTTTAAATCAACCCCGCTAAGCTAACTGAGGCCTGGCCAGAGATTTACTCCTCGCACAGCAGACAAACCCGCGCATAAAAACCTTCATACATAAACTGGCGTGTTCTCTTTACCTTCCAGTTACCGTACAGCCGTTTGATTCGCCGGTAATAGGCCTCCTTGTCCAGGTTTACCGCCATAGCGACCCTTCAGCTGGTGCCAAACTCCAGGTCCCGGCTTCAGAGTGAAGGCCGGAGTGAGAGTCTCTCTCTGGAAGCGCGCACTTTCCACGCCTTTGCGGCCCCGAATCGCCTTCCCTTTTCTCTTTTTTCTCAAAGCGCTGGGCCGTTTTTCCCCCTCAACAGATTCAACAAGATGTGATGTTAGTGCAAGCCTGCACGCTCAAGGGCTCTTATTAAAAACCTGCCCGTGTTAAAAACGCTGCTTTCTCGGACGACGCGACTATCAAAAGTGGCGCCCCGGAGCTACATAATGACATAAATACCGCATGGGTTATGTTTGCTGCTGCACAGCTACGCACATAGTAATTACACGCTGCTTTCACCCTCCTTCCCTTCCCTTCCCTTCCCTTCTCTTCTCTTCTCTTCTTCCTCCTCCTCTCCCTCTCCCCCTCCTTCCCTCCTTCCCTCTGTTGACGGCCCTCCTGACTCTTCAATTCTTTTATTCAGTCAACTATATCAGGCAATATATTGCCCGTTATTTTCTATTAGCGGTCATGATGTTAGACTCTTATCAGACCGACTTTGGCGGCTCTGTCTCCTGTTTTTACGTTCAGAGTACATTCATATTATTACACGAAGCGTTTACAGGTTTTCTGAGATGGTCATATCTTCATAAATCAAATGAGTAAATAAATAAACTGAAATACTGCACGTTTATTTAACGTTAGAACGAGTAGCAACAGCACCCTCTACCGACTCCCGCGCCGCTCTGCAACGAGGAAAACAGCGCCTAAATTAAACCCCGCCCCCTTCCAGCTTTGACCAATGACGTTTCGGCTAGTTTCCCGCCTTCCTCTAATTTCCCGCCAAACTAATGTCCTTTCATGTGGCTGCCCGGTGGGGGCAGGAAAGCACGATCCACCTCTGAAAGCTGCCTCACTGAAAGTTTTTACATTAAATAGTTATGAATGCGTTATGTGATAAAGTTTTGGCTTAAAATGCATTTTAGTCTATTTCAGCGGAGGGATACGTGCAGGGCGTTGTGAGGCAAAATTGTCCACAAGATCTATGACTCTTTTACCATCATCACCATTACATATAACATCTCAGAAGACCATTGTTGACTCACTGGTGGTTTCGATAGTAAATAAAATGGCTATATTTGTGCTGTAGACATGGCGACCCCTGGTTCCTATCACCACCACTGTAAAGACATCTGAGTCTCTACAATCAACCATTTCACACCAAACCACTCTGTTCACATTTCAATGACTACATTTTTAAAAAGTCAGTTAAACAGTAGTTAACACTGGTGTTCATACAGCATTTCTTGTTTTGAATATACAAAGTTAGCTCCAGTAATGCGCAATATCCTATTGTGTCTACAGAAGTTTGTGCTTTTTTATGGGATTTGTAAGTTTACAGTCAAAATTTAATCTTCTCTTTTTAAATCTTAAAACATTTTTTATTTTTAAATTAATTACATGATGTTATTTACATTAATGCAATGCTATTTTGCTATGTAGTGATATCTTTCCCCAGGTTGCTCTAACTATTAAAGAAATACAACATACCAGTGAGCGTGAATATAAATTGTACATATCGCTGTTATCGGAAGAAAACCTTGTATCTCCAGAAAACGTTGCATGACGCTCTGCTCAAATGATGCAGGGGTCCAAATAGAAATTATAGTTATCATCCTTAAGGTGTCTACAGGGTGGAATACTGTAAATGCATACTCCAATATCTTGAGCATTTTAAATATCACAGCAATGTTTCTCTTCCTATTTAAATATACTGTTTTCAGACATTAATACAGTTGAGACCATAAGTTTACATACACCTTAGCCACATTCATTTAGACTCATTTAGATTTTTTATAGTTCCTGACATGTAATCCTTGTCCGCATGGTCAGTTAGGATCACCACTATATTTTAAGAATGTGAAATGTCATAATAATACCAAAGACAGTGATATATTTCAGCTTTTATTTCTTTCATCACATCCCCAGTGGCTCAGGAGTTCACGTACATATGGTTAGTATTTGGTAGCATTGCCTTTAAATTGCTTGGGTCAAACCTTTCGGGCAGCCTTTCACAAGCTTCTCAAATAAGTTGCTGGAGTTTTGTCCCATTCCTCCTGACAGAATGGGTGTGACTGAGTCAGGTTTGGAGGCCTCCTTGCTCACGCAAACTTTAACTTTCTGGCTGATGTTTTGAGATGTTGCTTCAATATCTCCACATAATTTTCCTTCCTCAGAATGCCAACTATTTCGTGAAGTGCACCAATCCCACCTGGAGCAAAGCACCCCCCACCACATGATGCTGCCACCACCATGCTTCAAGTTTGGAAAGGTGTTCTTTGGCTTGCAAGCCTCCCCCTTTTTCCTCCATAAATAATGATGGTTATTATGGTCAAACAGTTCTGTTTTTGTTTCATCAGACCAGAGAACATTTCTCCAAGAATCTTTGTCCCCATGTGCAGCTGCAAACTGTAACAGCTTTTAAGGTCGGTTTTGGAGCATTGGCTTCTTCCTTGTCAAGTGGCCTTTCAGGTCATGTTGATATAGAACATTTTACTGTCGATATAGACACTTTTGTACCTGTTTCCTTCAGCATCCTCACAAGGTCGTTTGCTGTCGTTCTTGGATTGATTTGCATTTTTCTCACCAAAGTACACTCATCTCTAGGAGACAGAACGCATCTCCTTTCTGAACAGTCTGATGGCTATGTGGTCCCATGGTGTTTAAACTCGCATATTATCATTTGAACAGATAAACGTGGTACCTTCAGGCGTTCGGAAATAGCTCCCGAAGGATGTACCAGACATGTGGAGGTCCACAGTTCCAGTATGGTGAAAATGACCCATAAAACACAAGAAATATTTAAGCGCAATTTAACCTCATTCTGCAGGCCCCCTAGTGGCCATTACGTCAGCGCAACAGAAATCAACATGTATATTTGTAATAAAGCAACAATCAGAGGTGAAAGAGGAGGGATGAGAACCCCTTGCAGTAAAAAACAATTCACATCTCTCAACAAAACCAGTCGTGCTGAGATAAAACGGAGAGCAACTGCAGCTTCCTTGGTATCAAAACTTGTGTACAAACTGGAATAACAATAAAAACAGCACTTAAATACACATTCATAAACAATGACTGGCTTGTGCACCAACAAATAAGACGCTTCAGATTTTATAAATATCATACACATTTCCATCTAAATAAATCAGCATTACTGAAGAATAAACACACTGAGGGACCTCCAAAACAGGCTGAAACTGCATTTTATGGATATGGTTAATATGCTCTTGCCAAATAACCCCCACTACGGACACTTCCCAAGACTTTTTACAAATATTGACATATATTGTCAACCGTATTTGGTGTGCCCCTTGTAGATATCTTGATCATTCTGAAGCCACACACAAAAACACAGGTGACTTGTCCTCGATGTTTATTAAACACAAAAATGTCCATTTCATTGTTGTAACTCAATAAAAAGAGACAAGTTCTGTAACAGAATATTGTGTAGCGACTGTGCAATTTTGGTCTCCAACAATACTGTTCACAATCTCCTGCTGGTTGCAAAACAAGGAACAAAATCCATCCTGGAATAAAATACTAGTCTTGTTCATGTAGCAATACAGCTTATTTAAAAACTTCATGTGGTGTCATTTATTAAAAATATTGATAGCCCATGTAAATGTTCTCTAGAGAAGTGATATACAACAAGAGTCGTGGTTGTTGTGACTGAAATGTTGAAACGACTTTTTAAATAGCAGTTTTCCTTATGAAACAGTCAAAATATCTGGGTAGAAATGTAGTTTAAGCCAAAAAAATTAAAGCTGTACATAATGTTAACCCAACAACAGTCTAGAGGTGAAGCGGGCTATTACGGACCATTGATCGACGCTGCGTCCTCTGTACAACAATGATCTGTTAGCTTAAGAAGTGGTTTCATTCCGTCTTGCACACATGAACACACACATCCTCTCAATCACTCACCTTTGACAATTCTTAGCTTCTTTTTCTCCCCCCATCCCCTCAACTCTTGTGAGAAATACACTAATAAACTCTGCCCTGTATAATCGGAGACATGATGACTGCACAATTTCAAAAAAATAAGCTGAAATGAGATAAATTTAAAAGAATCCTCGACTTCCTTCTCTAACATCAGTCTTTTTCCTCTCTCTTCTGTACTTAACTGATTCATATTAGCAAAAAGTAGTGCCTTCGTATATGTATCCGCATACTGTACACCCTTTTTAAACATTTTGGTAAGAGATCTTACAGAGGACCCATTCTTAAACCCTTCCTGCTAGCTTCCCTGTTGTACATGAATGCACTGAAACAGAAACTGCACAGAAACTAAAGCGATAAACTGAGGAACAACTAATCACCGATAAATTTCACATTTTCAAATGTGTAATTATGTTACATTGATAACTTTTTCCTTTTTATACCCTTCAAGAACCCCTTACCCATTTGCCAAAATGTTCAAGGTCTTATTTTCTTTCTTTATCCCAGAAATTCATAAACTTTCAAAGAATTTTAAGGACCATGGCTTCTCTTAAGCTGCCTCAACTCTTCTACGAAACACAATTGTCAGTTCCCAGTTTTAGTGCTTAAAGGGATAGTGCAACCAAACAGCTAGTTAGAATGCTGACCAAGCAGCACAAGGTCTCATGCATTGTTAGCCACATTAGCACTGGCTGGTCAAACCATCCCTTTAAGGTTGCCATTCTCAAACAGCGACAAGGCCAAGAGCCGCTTTTAAGAAATGGTTCAGCTAAAAATAAGTTGTGCAGAATTTTCCACTTTCCCCAGATGTAGTTGATCAGACAAATGCTGCTTTTTCAGTGTAGCGCTGGAGCTACAAGGACAACTTTGCTAACAAACACTAGAAGTCAACAGTCACCCAAATGTTTTCCGTAAAAACATCCCCACAATGTCTTTGACCTTCACATCTAGGTTTTTCGTCAGAATTCAGCACAACACCTGTCGTCTGAAGTGGCTGACCACAGCATTCAGCTACACAGTGAAGTTTAGTTCATTTAGTTCATTCAGTAACTCTGTCCTAAACCACATCAACAAGTCTGCACAACCTTCAAGACCTGGATGCGGTTTCAAAAGGTTGAGAAAAGTTTAGAGGATGTATTTACAGAAGATTTGGGTCCCTGTATATTCTAGCATTTGACAACAATATTAGCCTCAAAACTCCAGTGCTAAACTAAATAAGAAAAATTTGAACACCAATCGACTACATCTAGGAAACGTGGAAAACTGTCTTAATGAGATTTTTCCCTAAACCATTTCTTTAACTAGCACTGCTGGGAGCATGTAGTGAAAACCACTCTTTAGGACTGTACCAACTGTATTCCTCTCAAAGTTCTCTCACCTATGTCTATATACACGTCACACACACTCTTTCTCCCTATCTCTGCTACTGGTTCAGCAGTTTCTAGGTGACTGTGGTGGAGCTCTGCCCTCTGATCACACACCAGGCCATGAACACATCCCTGCGGGAAAAACGGCAAAGCAAAGAAGACACAGCTCAGTTAGATGGCCAAGAAATGGTCAACAGTACAATGTAAATTAAGTAGGTTTTTGCATGTATGGTGAATTTCATTTACTGTGGATAAAACATCCTTTACAAGTCAAAATTCATTTGCATGGCACACATAAGACTACAGGCATATACCACTACACGTTCTTCCAGAACCTTTGGCACCAGAAAACTGAGACAGTCCTTTTTTCGGTGGCTATCAATCTAGTACCAAAGGTTCCAGTTTTATGATTTTTGATACCTGCTCAAAATTGGTACCAACAGGGTCCAATGGTACTCCAGTGTGTTCTTAAAACTTGCAGCTGAATTTAATTAGCTAATTACAATTGTGAATAGTGAATTATTTACCCTTTCAAAGTTTCTTTGAAAGTTCTCACAATCAACAGAAAAAAAGTAAGCTTTCTTCGATTCATGTGAGTGTTGTGAGAGCAGAAAAGAGCACTATCGCTTCATGTCGCTCAATTAGTGTTAAGCTGGCAATCTAGTGTAGCCAATAAGTTGAGCTACCGAGCAATTAAAGAAGCTGTAGAGCCAAATTAGATGCTTTAGGATTGTACTATTACAATGGCATAAAATTACCAAAAAGACAATTTAATGTAGTGTGTTGTGATCAAGACTAATCCCTAAGACATGTTAATGTATGTGGAAAATAAATGTGATTCTGAGAGCGTGATGGTGGCAGGTGAGAGGGGTCTTGTGCCCGTACTTGCAGTGCGTGGCCACACACTCGTTGCTGCAATATTCTCTGTCCCAGTCTTTGCTCTCTATTGGTGGGTTATTGCAGCCTGCTCGTACGCACACGGCGGGACCTGCTGGAGGAGCTACCTCAGGTGCCGGAGATCCATTGAGCTCCACCTCCATCTGAGAGAAAGAAAGAGGCATGAGAGATTGTATAACAACAAGCAGGGAAAAGCAGGAAGCAGAACATGAGACAAAACTATAAAAACAATTAAAATAAAAATAAATTAACAAATGCAGCGCAATACCACTTACTAAAACTACTAATATTAAACACTAAAACTAGAATACTTCATGAAACTAAAGTGTAATGGAACATCCCAGACCTATTTTAGGGATGCATGAGGATACTGTAATGAGCTGTATTTTATGGTGTGTTGGGACTGTCCTCACAAGCTTGTAAATAAGCTTGGAAAACTGCCATGTCACCAAATCATAACTTCTGGCTTTTTGCATTCAGATGGTTATTGGCAATCTGTGAACTGAATCATGTGAACAATATGAATCTGCATGGACCAACCGGCTTGGTCTACTGTGTTCACATGGTATCAGATAATGTGCTGGCTGGTCATACGTCACAACTTTTAATTTAAGCAACACAAGCTGCCTTCCAACAGACCTTTCTGGTTCACCACTGGTATTTAGAATTCGTCAGACTTTTGATAAACTTAGAAATTCGTGAGTTTAAAAAGACTGTCTGAAGGCACCATTAGATCTGTCCTGTCCAGTCTTACCCCTTCCTCTCCTTCTGCTGTCACTATGGCAGCCGGCTGCGCCACCTCCACTGCCACCGCCGGGGTGGCTGAGACTGGTGCCCCCTCGGCCGTTGTCACAATGATGGGAGTGGCCACGTCCGTTTGCACAGGGGCGGGGACTATCTTGATCTGCAGAGGGGGTGGAGGTGCTGTGGTGACAGTGGCAGTAACTTGGCCAGCTCCACCCCCACCACGAGGTTTGGCCAGGAGGGGTGGCGGGGCAGGGGAATGTACCATTTGCTGGAGGCGTGGGGGTGGAGGGGTGTTCTGCATCTGCTGGAGGGGAGGAGGCTGGCGCGCTGAAGCGGCAGCCGCGGCCTGAAGCTGCTGCTTGGGGATGATTATCTTGGTGACAGTGGGCGGAGTCGGAGTGGCACTCGCTGCCGCAGCGCTGGCGGCTGGCTTGTAAGCTCCCGTGCGAGACCGCGTGGTGACTTGCGGCAGGTCGATAATGATGTTGGACGTGCAGATGTTGGTGATAGTGTTGTTGTCGGGTGCGTGCTGTGGAATTCGGCTGGAACGTGTTGGCGGCTGTGCAGGTGGTGGAGGCTCTGGTGTGGCCACAGCAGCAGGAGCAGCAGGGGGAGAAGGGGGCGTGTCCAGCACCTCAATGGTGGGCTATAAAAACAATAATGAGAGACTGTAACCAAAGGAGCACTGTATCTGTCTTAAATCACAGTACATTCAAAATTATCACCCAATTCATACGTCATCCTTGGTGTTAGGACACAGCACATTTTACATGCGTTAGAAACGGTCTGACAGCATGTTACCTGAGAAAGCTGATTGGCTCTGTAAGCTGCCAGTGCTTTAAGGTACTCCTTCTTAGCAGCTTCAGTCTTCCTCTTGTAAACCTAGAGCAGAAATGCATATGATGGGATATAAAACAGTAAGTGTAAGCAACTAGGAGACATGACCGAATCTTTGAACATGTCGGCATTAGTGGTGTAAATGCGATGCATATGATTCAAACCACAATTTGTTTCTTTATTTGTCTCGCTGACAGACAGCGCAGCAATGTTTGGTGCCAACTCGCCCCTACTTCTGACCGCATTCAAACAAGAACAAAGGCAATAAGTTGGATTCAATAAGCTAATAATAACCTGGGCAAGGCACGGTTCATTACAATGGACAGCAGGACATCTCAAGTTGTTCTACCAGCCACTATTTTGATAACAGGAAAACTTAAAACCAGCTATATTTATTTCACCTTATGTTTATATTTAATATGCTTGCTGTTTACATTTTTTACATTCGTAGATTGGTACAACTGTTCAGCAGGTTGATGTGTTTTTTTTTTCAGACTTAGCAGATTAATGATTATAAGAATCTAACTATTTAAACCTTTGATAAGCGTTAACTACAGCTATTTATTACAGTTTTGTTGTGCAAGTTTCCCTGTACCTGTTTCTGCTCCTCTCCCAAACTGTCCCACATTGAGGCCACGATCTTCGACACTTCACCAAAAGTAGCGTTGGGATTCTGGCCCTTGATGGCTGCTTGCGTGTCTCGGAAAAACAAGGCATAGGCCGACACAGGTTTCTGGGGCTCGTTGGGGTCTTTTTTCTTCTTTCCTTTCTTGGCCCCACCCCCTCCTCCAGCCACACCTCTCCGTGCCAGCGTGGGTGGGGCCACAGCCACAGAGGTGGCAGGCTGCTCCGCGAGAGAGGGCGAGAGAGAGATGACACCAGGAGAGACAGAGAGAGAGACAGGGGAGTCCACCAGCACGCTCTTCTGAGCCAGACGGGGCCGGAGAGGGGGAGGCAAAGAGACAGAAAGACAGACAGAGAGAGAGAGGAAGGACAGGAGTGGGTGTGGAGGAATGACAGATTAGTTTCCATAACAATTCAGATACACATTTACAATCTGTGACCAGAATCAGCAAGATACAGTACATAGAATTGACTAACGTTGCAACTAAAAATCATTTCTATAGCAGACACAGTTGATTAACTGACTTAGGAATCATTAAATCTTCTGAAGCTTCATGAATTTCGCCACCATGAATTTCGTGTTTGACAAATAAATTTAGTTACTTATAAAACCGGCAAACCAGTTGAAAAGCTTATGACCCATCTTGCTCCCTTCTGTTGCTCCTTAGAAACATATCGCAAGTAATGATACCCATTACGTGAGGCAGGCTGACATCAAAATATGAGAATGGGAAGATCTGGGAATGCATGCACACTAAAATACGACCACATCCAAACATTTAAAGCTTATGTTCTTGAAATATTTTGTTTCACACTACATTACATTGTGCCATACCATATTTTATAGCATATTTATTAAAGATGCATCAGTGCTGATACCGGTGTCGGGCCGATACGGCGCTCATACTCCTAAAAATTCACTGATAGCAACATTCCGATACCCGCTGATACCTTGTGACGTAAGCAGTGTCTGCACTGCCGCACTAATGAAAAAACAATTGAAGCTGCCATTAAAGACGGCTCTGCTCACAAAGATTTTGGTGGTGGGACACAAAGCCTTCAGTCACTTTAAACATTCTGCCTCGATATGTTCCCACCAGGAATACAGTGTGATTTCAGCCCATTTTAAAACACACACAAACACAATCACGTCCTCAAAATGGGTGGAGAAACTGTTTGACTGAACAGAAAAACTAAATATAAACATTAATATAGTAATTTTTTTTGTAACACAGGATGTAGAGAGGCCGTACTGTTCTACCATGTATATCCATGCCTGTTTTTCAGTACTGTTTTTTTAGCAGTGCAGTACAAGTAAGCAGCACTGCTGAATCTCATTTTCTCAGCATGTTTGCTCAGTACTCGGTGCACTTTATTTGAAACTGTCCACAGACAGAGCTGTCTGTACAGGCTGTGTTTCACGTCAATCAGAACAAGCATTTCCATACAGTGCGAGTGTCTAAATCGTACACATTTCTAAAAGCGCACAGCATGTCTGGCTTTACAGGACATTAAACTACAGCTCAACCAGCCAAACAAAAGACTCCAAAAAGACATAAAACTCTACATGTATGCTCCTCGGATGCGTTAGCTTCAGATGTGAGACTGTTGTTGAAAAAAAACAGATGAGGATCAAAACTATGAAACATACTTTACTTACAGCTGTTACTGAAAATCACATCAAATCTGTAACCACACAATGTATGAATTAGAAAACAATGTGCGTGAATCCTAAAACACAACAGAAACCTATGATTAAACTAAATAAAACGTTTCCCCTTCAGAAAAGCACACGTAAAAATCATCTTAAGAAACCTGAACTTCTCTTAGTATTTCGCGCTGAAACAAGAAACGGACAGACTCACTCTTCTGAAGTCATCCATGTCGTCATCCTGGAGTGATTCAGACGGTGAGCCAGTGGCTGATAGTGGCTGGTCAGGTGACTGTGAGCGTGTCAGAATGGTCCCTCCTCCTAGACTGAGACCGAGCTGAGCGCTGAGCTCCGACTGGTCAATAGTGGTCAGCTGGTTGTGTCCTAGTAGGCTATGGTTCATGTCCGTTAGTGGAACATCAATGGTCATGGGGGAAGAGCTGCTGAATTGAGAACCAATAGGATGGCCAAGATCCTGGAATAGAACAACTACAATTTCAGTTCGGGTACCGGATTGTTTCTCACATCGAAGGCAATTAGCTGTTTTTTTAATCGGCAGTCGTGTACAAATTGCAGTATTCGGCCATACTGACATTGTATAAGGTCATATGGTTGAGGCAGCAATAATCTAATTTCAAACCTATAAATGTCACAGATCAGATTTTAAAACATATGTAAACTATCAGAAACATCGGACATGAGCGAAAAAACAGAATTAAGCAGTAAGACTTGTAATGTGAATGTAAGCTTAAAGTAGCACTAAGAGCAGCAAACTTCAGACACCAAATGTGGCTGATAGAATATGTTTGGGATGAGGGGAAAAGTCAGTAAAAAAAAGTACAGTTTTTAATGAAACTTTTCTTCAAAAATACAGTAGCGTCACACAAACATATACATATATATACATACATATTTCAGATGTAAACAAAGTCATTCAGAGTGGTTTGGAGTGAAATCCGCTCCGTTCTAGAGAGTCAAACAAGTGGTGGTGATAGGAACCGGACTTCCACCTCTAAAAAAGCTCCCTCACGGAGAGTTACTAAATGAAATGATTAAGAATACACTGCCTTTCTCCAACGTGCACTTACCATTCCCAGTGTCGATCCCAACATAGGACCCCCTCCCTGCTGGCTCATCAGGCTAAGGTGTTCCAGGGCCTGCGATGGAGGGTTCACGAAGGTTGAGGCAAAAGAGGGATCGTCGCCCTCGACGACGGCATTGCCAGGGACGCTTGAGGAAGGGCCACCGTCGCCCAGCTCTCCGAAGTGCGACACAACATCAGAGACGCTGAGAGCAGGGTCAGGGTCCAGTGATATGGGTGGGATTTCAAACTCCTCATCGCCCAAACTGGGTGTATGGAATGTCTGCAGAAGAAGGACTCACTGATGAAATTCTGAGGCCGACTCAGTTCAATGAACACACGTAACTCGTCAGGTAAGAGCTGAACCTGGTTCAGCACTCTTACATTCCTACAAGGACTTTTGAGACTTAAGAATGCAAAAAAACATCCACCACCGAACTAAAGATTAAACAGAATACACAAACAAATGACAGGAATCTCAATGTGTAAGACAAAACCTCATAATGTGGCAACAATTAAGGAACGCTAGGTCTGTTCAAAGCTCTGCCACGCTAACAAATGTAAACGGCACATTTCGGTCCTAATTCAAGCTTTGCATCTCTTTAAGTCAAGCTGAAATTCAGTCTAAAGGAGGACAACACAAACATGGACAGAAAGAAGCACCTGGATCTGAAGGGAGTATGTGGAGGGGAGAGCTACCTCGGAGGAGGACAGGAAAGGATGTCCCTCTTCACTTATAGCTAAGTAGTTGTCGCTTCCTCCAGGGAACTGCACACAAAAACAGAAACAAAATGAACAGTGTGAGACATTCAAGGCATACCAGACATGCATTTCTGTAATAGTGTTTTAGCGCAATTTGTGAAAAACTAAAGCAGCAAACTTCAGACACCAAATGTGCCTTGGCTGATGTTTGGGATGAGAGGAAAGGTCAGTAAAAAAAAGTACATTTTTTAATGAAACTTTGCTTCAAAACTACAGTAGCCTCACACAAACCAATCACGTTTCTCAGTGACATCAGCCGCCCAGCCAAATACATGAACATCTAGAGGTCACTGAGGAAATACTAGGAGTTTCCTGATGTAAACTATTTAAAAAACTGTACAGCCTGTACTTATAAACAATCGTTCAAGACAACTTATTTTACATCTTAAGAGAGAACTCCACCAATTTCTTAAAAAGATTCAACATAATTAAATATTTCAGATGTAAACAAAGTCATTCAGAGTGGTTTGCTGTGAAATCCGCTCCGTTCTAGAGAGTCAAACAAGTGATGGTGATAGGAACCAGACGTCCACCTTAGAGTTACTAAATGAAATGGTTAAGAATACACTGCCTGATGTCTGAGACGTTGTCTTATGACAGCAGTTCTGTGATGAAGTTTTGGCCTCAAATGTCTTGCTAATCCATTCATGGTGGAGAAACACTTGAAGGGTGTTCTTACAGTAAACAGTTCACATAGTAAACTTATTTTTTCACACTTATGACTATTATACCACCATCAACATCACATATAAAAAGACCAAAAAGACCCCCGGTTCCTATCACCACCACTGTAAAACTCTACAATGAACCATTTTACACTCAAACACTCTGAATGACCTCTTAACCATTCAATTATGCAGAAATTTTCAAAACTCGGTGAAATCCCCCTTTGAAACTCCAGATGTTCACCTTCTGAACCGTGTCAAATCCGTTAAAAGCCTGAGGGTCCAGAAACTCCGGATCGCCCGGCTGGCCGGCTCCGTCCGTCAAATCCGAGTAAAAATTCAGATCCATTTCGAGTCACGGATCCCAGCTCTGACAGCCTGAGCTCACAACCGGGGTCTAGAGTAGACTATTTTAGCGGTAGGGGTGGCAAAGGGGGTCCAGCTCGGTGGGTTTAACGCCCCTCAGCCTTCACTCCTGACCCAAAAATAACTCCCAGCAGCCCGGAGTCTCTCTCAGCCCTCAGCCTGACTCACACTGCGGTACCGGGCAGCTAACGGCTGAGCGAACTCCGCTCCCTAAACCCCTCACAGGGTCACGGAGGAAACCGCGAAAACAGCCAACCGTTCCAACAAAGCCTTAAACGCGAAGCCAGACGTTCACATCCGCGGGAGAAGCGCCGAGAGCCGGCCGGACCGGAGAGCCGCGCTAACCGCACCGAGTTAGCTCGCTGCTAACGTGGAAGGCGACGGCGTGTAGCTAACGTTCACCTGCACCGATATGAATGACGGACACATGGAGGACAAACAGCGGCACGCTAACGTGTTCAAACGCCTTCTAGGCATACAATAAGGCGCAGACTATAAATGAGAATATAAAAATATATTAACTAAATAAAGAGCTGGTGGTCTGTCGGTATTTTTCCCCCTTTCACTACTGTGGACTGGATTCGCCATCGAATCGGTTCTTTGCAATGATTCAATTGAGCCGATTCACAAGACAATCGACCTTTGCATCTGTGTTTGTGTGTGTGTGTATATACATATATATATATATATATATATATATATATATATATATATATATATATATATATATATATATATATATATATATATATGGTCGGGAGAAAACCTTGTATCTCCAAAATGGTAATTTCACAGGAGAAGGAAAAAACATAGTTTACTCTTAATGTAAGTCAATGGAACCAGACTTTTTTCCGAGTCATTTTATGTCATTTCTTTTGGTCCATTCATTGTGAAATTTACACACAATGTAAAGAACAACAGGTATTTTCAAATTATGTCAAAAACTGAAAACCGTCAAAAATAGAGGTACAAGGTTTTCTTCTGACAACAGCTATATATATATATATATATATATATATATATATATATATATATATATATATACATACACACAAACACACACACACACGCACGCACGCACATATTACCATGTTTGATAAATGATAGGGACTTTTATTGTAGAGGCAGCACTACTTCTTCCCCCCTGGGGCTATGTGAGATACAGCACCACAAATTAAATAACTTTAAAAAGTTCTCCTTAAATTCCAGCAGCACTGCTGTGTCTGATCCACTCATACCAGCGCAACACACACTAACACACCACCACCACGTCAGTGTTACTGCAGTTCTGAGAACGATAGTACCTGCTCTGTGGTGGTCCTGTGGGGGTCCTGACCATTGAAGAACAGGGTAAATAAAGCTTTACATAAAATAAGTAAAACAAGTGTCTGGCACTGCAGATCAGAGGCAAGTGTTGCCAAAAAAGTAAAGCAAGTCTATATACACAGATTATTTATTATAATAGGCTTGTAGTTCAACTAAAAATATAAATAAACACACATGACTCGGTCGGGCGGAGAAACTGTAACCTGTCTTTGATGAACAGTGTCTCTGAATTCGCTTACAGTCGCTCTCTCGACTGGATGAATCAATGAATCGCTGAATCGGATGTTCGACTCATTGAAGCGGACAGTTCGACAGAGTCGGCTCATTAAGCTGAATCCGACGTCCCATCAGAGCGGTGTGCGTGCGTCACAGGCGACTCAATCGAGGCCCGATATAATATAAAGGAGTGGGATTTCAGGGTTTTTTTGGCGCTGCAAAGGGGTGATTTCACGTTCCTAGACTTCATAATGGTGTCCAGCGTACTGTTCACAAGTGCGTTGCCAAAAGGGATATAAATGAATCATACAATACGAGTCATATTCTCAGAGGCACCGCACATTCTTCCCACAGTCTCACGGCCCTTTAGTGTGGAGCACAGACACACTGATTACCAGAGCAAATCATGTCAGAGGGGAACTCCACCAATTTTCAAAATTTCTCCATATTTAAATGGTTGAGATATCGACAAAATCTCTCAGAGTGGTTTGGTGTGAAATGCTTCGTTCTACAGAAACTTAGGAACCATAAGCTTAGAGCCTCTAAAAGCTCCCTCGCAGAAATGTCTGAATCCATTGATGGCAGAGGGACATCATAACACTTTTTTCAGATTTTCCACTATTTTCCTACCATCAACATTACATATATACACTCAGAAGATGTGAAGGTGGGTTTGGATAGTAAATAAAATGTCTATATTGGTGCTGTAGACGTTGTGACCCCTGGTTCCTATCACCACCACTGTAATGTCTCAACCGCTGAATTATGCAGAAATTTTGAAAAATCAGTGGAATTCCCCTTTAATGGTGTTACGGCCGTCGGGCAGCTAGAAGCGTTCTTAAAATCGCACTGGCCTTGAAAACAGAGCGCAGAACATATGAAATATTTCTACTAGATGAGGGTAAAACTAAACATCCTGTTAATCCCTTCACTGCAACCTGTCGTGTCTCGCACTGTGAGCCAAAGTGTTCCACTTAATGAACGTTAACATGAGTAACAGTACTCAGAAGTTATCCTTTAACCAGGTCAGCCTTCCTTGTCTAACGCTGGATTAATCGCATTTCCTTCTCAAAGCAGAAAGGCACCACATTCACTTCTCACTCGTCTACTGTGGTCGCACTGTCTTCACAAAATGCGGCTCCTCCTTTACTGAAACCTCTAGATTATGTACATCGTGCCTCAAAAAAGAGCGATTCCACCGATTTGTCAAAAATTCTGCATAAATCATCAAAATGTAAACAAAGTCCATTCTGAGCGGTTTGGTGTGAAATGCTCTGTTCTAGAGAAACTTACCGAGTCAGAATTGTTCACAGTGGTGGTGATGGGAACCAGATGTCCACCTCTAAAAGCTCCCTCACAGAAAGTTACTACATGTAAAAGTTACAAATACATTCCCTGATGCCTGAGATACTCTTGTATGATAGCAATAAGATAAAGGTTTGATCTGAAACATATTTTTGTTTTGTTGGTAGAGAGGTATATGCAGTGCACTGTAAGGCAAAATAGTATAGAGAGAAAATTTTTACACATCACAACCCCCTGGTTCCTATCAACACCACTGTAAAGAAATCTTAGTTTCTCTAAAAGGAACCATTTCACACCAATCCACTCTGAATGACAGGAACTGCACAGAAATTTGGGTGGAATTCCACTTAGCTACAAGTGAGTTTCTTGCTCTTTGCAGTAAAGAGGGACACATTTCTTCACGTAAAGTTTTCTTCAATACTGTAGCGTTTATCACTGAACCTTCAGGTCTGTGTTTTGATGACCAGACTACAATGGTCTGAAATGGCCTTTTGGTACTTCTGCCAGCTTTTTACATGTTTAAATCCACTCTGAAGTTCTGCTAATGTTATTCATCAGTTTTCCTTCTTGTTTTATCCAAATCAGGGCCTGTACTAAAAATTAAACTCGGGAGTTTTGAAGGTTTTACACAGTGTTACATCAATAACCTACATAAAAGCGACTCTTTATTAGAGATGGCATATGGGCATCAGGCCAAATCGGCAGTGTGATGTCAGCTGTGTGTGTCTTCCTACTGGGTAGGTAGTGTAGCTTATCTTGAAGGGACATTATGGGCAAAAGGAAAACGTAACCATCCTTACAGCTGTACACACGCCTACTTGCCTCTCACAGCAGTGCCACAGTAGCTTCTAAAGTGAGTTTTCCTGGTTTAAAGACAAGGAAAGCTCCCTTCTGATGATGTGTCCTGAAGGCAGAAGTAACTACAAGTGTTTCGGAACAGCCTGTTTAATTAAGTGCGTTTCTGCTATCTGGCTAATTCTTCAACTGAGTTATTCAGTTGACAAAGTGAACAGTCTGGACACCGTTTGAGGTTAGTGCTACATCAGCAATGCCAGCAGACGTAATTATTATACTCTAGATGCCACTTTATTTATACATCCACAAATATTTCATACTGCACAACTGTTAACGTTGTTGTTGTTGTCGTTTACAGTACAGTCACTCTGTTCATTCACTGGACGTGACATGCACCACTGCACTGTCAACTGCATAGTATTTATGCGATTTTACTACTTATTTTAGTGTATTTTATTATTTATCTTCACTTCTTCTATTTATGCACTTCTAAATACCGCATGGCAATACTTTCGCTTGTGTTTTGCTCTTTACTGTACTTTCACTGCTGCACTACAGAATACGACCAAACCTAACAGATAACATTAAGTGATAGTTTTAGACCAGAACACCCCTTTAAATGAAGTGCTTCAATTAAAAACGACTCATTTTAAAGCTTATAAGTTTTTACAGAAAACATGGGATGATACTTAAGGTTTCAACATCAGTATCGGAACAATTGGAATGAAGAAGTGGTATCGCTATCGCGCCGTCTCTGCTCGGTTCAGGAATCAGACACATCAAACCCATAACCGTTAAACACCACCTGTCTGTTTCTTTCAGGAAACAGACGTCTTGACTGCTTTCCATCTACCACAAACGCAGGAGAGAACATGAACCAAAGGTCTTAAAAGAGCCTAAAGGTGTAAAATTCTCAGAGCCCCTAAGGTGACATGGTGATTATTTTTAAAAAGGTGTGGCAACAAATTATTATACTGAGGCCACAAAGTACTGTATTGAGGCCACAGATTAATATATATATTTAATATATATATATATTATTATGAGAAATTTAACTTGTTGCCTCAATATATTATTATGTAATCTCAGTATACAAATTTGTGGCCTCAACATATTAATTATAGTGAGGTGACGTTATTATTTTTAATAAGGTGTGGCTAGAAATTATAACAGTGAGGCCACAAATTAAAATATAAAAGCCAATAATGAATATATTGAGGCCACAAATTACTGTATGGAGGCTGTAAGTTATGAGAAACTTGCTGCCTCAATGTACTACTCTGTAATCTCAATATACTAATTTGTGGCCCTAATATATTAAGTAAGGTGTAATTATTTTTAATAAAGTGTGGCCACAAATCAATATACTGAGGGTACAATTTACTATCTTGAGGCCACAAATAAATATATGAGAATATATAAACGAATATACTGAAGCCAGAAATTTTTTTATTGAGGCCATAAGTTATGAGAAACTTGCTGCCTCGATATATTATTCTGTAATCTCAATATACTAATTCCTGGCCTCAATACAGTAATTATAGTAAAATGGCCTGATTATTTTTATTAAGTTGTAGCCACAAATTACAATATCGAGGCCAACAATGAACATATTGAGGCCATAAATGACTTCATGGGGGCCACAAGTTATGAGAAACTTAATTCGTGGCCTCAATAAATTACATTGTAATCTCAGTAAACTAATTTAAAGCCTCAGTATAGTAACCCATACCAGTGTAATATTTGTGACCTCGAAATATTAATTCGTGGCCACGCCTTATTAAAACATAATTACCATGTCACCCTGGGGGCTCCGTATAGAAGGAAATAAAAGGGTAAAACTTTGATTAGAGACATATAATTAAAAAAACGTGATATTGTGATGAAAACGACGACGTGTTAGGGCGGTTAGCTCGTTACTTTAGCTAGCATAAGTTAGCCATGAGCACTAAGTTGTCCTCTTGCTGACCGGCACTCTGTCAAAGTTAGAAAGAATTAAGTGCGACGAAAGTGACCCAAACAAGAACTGGTTCGACGTCCAAGTGGGGAAGTTCAAGACAAAACGCCGACGAAAGCGTGTAAACAAATGAAGGAGCCATTCATTTCTGACTAGCTGCTAACGCTGCTAACGCTACAAAGGAGGAAGTTGTTGGTGCGGCAGCTCCGCCGGTGGCTTTTATGAAGACTCCGGATTGCAACACCGGAGAAAAAGGGCTGTAAGAGTGTGAATGGAGGAGCAGGGGGGTGGACGAGGCGGCTAAGACGGACGAAGTATTCAGACGGCTCTTCTAGACGTCTCTTCTTACCTCCATACTCGCCCTGAACTCGGCACGGTTTCTGTCCTGTGACTCCGATCAAAGCGACTCTCACAGGAAACAAAAACACTCGCTCAGCACACACTCACAACATGGCACCGGCTAGTGCGCTTCACAGAGGAAATGACGAACCGGCCAAACCAGCGACAGAAAACGAGCTCGCCTGTGGCCCGGATTAAGCCCAAGACCAGTCTTAATAAGCTTTTGTAGCTGTAAATCACCGCAGGCATCGCAGTTTAGCGCAACACCAGCGTTAAAGCGAGAAACCGGTCCACACTGTCAGAGGCCGCGCTCCAATACGCGCACTTGTCCACTAGCTAACTAGGGCGCTTAGAGCTGGAGTGTTGTGGCTGCGTTCCAATATGCGTACTTCAGTTTGAACACAGTAAAGGTTTGTGCCAGGGATGGGCGATGCCACCCATTTACTTTTCTGTTTCTGTGCGATACCAATTAATACTAAGGATCCCGATATTAATGAGTGTGTTTATATGCACTTAATAATCCAATAATAACCTATTTTTGGCAGTTATCTGATTATTCAAGCGGTCATCTAAACAGCATACTCTGATTTCTCAGATCCGATTAAGGCCGAGAAATCCGATAAGGAGAGCTGGACTTTAGTTCAGTAATGACAGATTTTAATGTTGTTCATCTTCTGGATGATGAACATTTATATTTTTCCGCTAAAGTGATTCGATGTTTAAAAAAAATCAAGCCATATGATTTTTGAGTTTTACGTCACGTCTTATTCTGTGGGTTTATTGGCTGGTTGCAAAGCAGAAATCCGATTACTGTCTGACTAATGTCAACCCAGTTTCCCATTATATGTTTACGCAAGTGCATGTAAACTCTAATGGATTAATGAAAAAATCTGATTTTCTGCATGTATCGGATTGGGAAGTGTGTAAACGCACTCAATGAAAACCTACATTTCTACATTTGGACATCCAAAATTATAAATGAAAGCCTGTGCATTAATGCTGAGTCCAATGTGGCTCGGATGTGGGAAGTCGTAGCTCAGAATTGCGTCAATTTTATTTAACCAATCTTTGCTACCAAAAAGGGGGTAAAAGGGCGCCTTCGTAAGAGTGGGTATTGTTAGCATTAGGCTAGCCAGCTAATGTCAGTGACATGAATGATAACTAACATTCGTGAAGCATTTGCCTTCTCAAAACAGTGAACTTTATGGTCAGTGTTATAGATTTACCTACTACTGACTGATCTAAAGCAAATATCATTTAAAAGCAGAGCAGTGGTTCTTTATTATTACTGATGGTGTGATCAGCCGATTTAACGTCATGTTCTGAGCTCAAGGACCAACATAGAACACCATTCCTACTTCCCGAGTACGGATTTCCCATTTTGGGTGTGTTTCTTTGTTGAAGTTCAGAAATTCCAAGTTAGCTTCAGTCAAACACTGCGTAGGGTTAAAGGGCCAAAATGAAAAACCTCTCCATCGCTACGTAAACATGCCTATTCGCACTGCGGTGCCACAGTAGCCTTGAGAGATTTTCTGGTTTAAAGACTAGGAAACCGCCCTTTTGATGCATCTTTGAAGGTGGGAGGAACTTTTGGAAAACTACAACTAGATTAGAGTAGATAACTACAGCTTTTTGACTTCACCCAACCGCTAGCTGGCTAATCCAGAAGATAGCCATATTAGCTAGCTTTAATGCCAGGAAGCCGTTTATTACTTCTGTATTATTGTCTACTTTAGTGGGACTTCAGTATGTTTCTTTATGGTAGGCGGAGGAGGCAGGTAGGGTTAGATGATGTATTTATGTTTATTTTTACGATGTATAATGCATGCTGGGTACTGTTCTGAGAGAACATTGATGGTTGGAAGCACAAAATGGACAGAAAATCGTGAATTCTATCAAATTGATGAGGCGGAGGGATACAGTGCTGCGATACAGAACACAAAGCATGACAAATAACACATCAAAAGCTAGTTTTAGGCCAGAAAGCCCCTTTAAATAAACTAATGGTTAAACAGACTGACCGTTTAGGCGTGAAAATAACTGCACATGATCTGCCATTAGAAGCAGAGGTGGAAGGAAAAGTAGTTCCTAATTACCACAATCATTTTTTTCCACTTTTTCTTAGCAGTACAACCCGACCTTATCCTGACCTATCACCTGTTCTATCAGCGAAAAACGATGAACATGGTGGTGAAGGTGAATAAATTAACCTGATGTGCTTCTATACGATTCATGTGCTTTTTAATATAGCAAAAAAAAGAAGCAGGGTACGTTCTTCTCCAGACCGCTTTCGTTTTTCCATGGTGGGCGTATATTTCAACATGCACCTGAACAGAGTGAGGTCATACTTATTAGTTGAGTTACTAGTTACTAGTAATACAAACTAACTAATTCTACAAATTCCAGAGGAAGACCTCTTATTGACCAGGGTATACTTGGTTTTTCCATCTGAATTTACACGAACAAATCGTAAGGCAAATTATTCAGTAACTGCATGAAATAAATGTAAATTTTTATTTATTTATTTATTTTTGTTGTAAAAGCTCCTCAAATTAACAGAACGTGTTTTATGATCATCAACATGTTGCTATATGCTTACAATTTATTGCTGAAAGCCAAAAATCTTACACGCTCTGTATTTTTTAATAAAAATTATTTTTTACAGAGCAGATCACTGAAGAGACGCCATCTGTTTATAGTTTATAGCCCAGATTTGTGGAAAAATGGGTCGACTTTCAGTAGACAAAAAAAATTGGTCAGCTTCTTTTATTATAAGGGTTTAAAATTACATTACGCATCTATCTGACTGGAAAGAAGACAGTTACAGCTCTCATACGACCCCCACCTTTTGAATGTAGCTTATGAACTATGAAAGTTATGAAGAATATGACGAAGTGCGTTTTGGAAACACCGGTAGTCTCAAGGAGTTGAAAAGGTTAATTGTGGCCCTATTAAAAATACTGAACACTTTTACTATCATTCAACACTCTTTACAAAGCACACAAGTGATTGATGGTTAATCTGAAAGCTGTGAGTGAATGCATAATGCCAATGTAAGAAGACACACCAATCCAATGACTGTTTCTTTCCAAAATCAGTTTATTTCCAGTTTGTTCTGACTTACGAGTCCTTCATGTTTTGAATAACAAGGTAATAAAAAATAAGAACATAAAATTTGGGTCTTCGGCATCGATGCACAAGCAAAGATTCGTGGTAGACCGAGAAAACGATGATCTCAGCACATTAAAAAATATGACAAGCATTTTGTGAAAAAAACCTCTTTTGCTGTCAACATGTATTTCTAAAGCACGCCAAGCGCATATTCTTACATAAACACGCTCTCACGTTCTCACACACGTACAAAAGAGCAGGGAGCACGAATACAGTCAGCGCAGGAATTACAGTGCAAAGGCTGACAGCACATTGGATTAAAAAAAAAAAATACTGTAGCATTTTTCAACCTGATCTCTGTAGCATATGGTCAGTTAACCATGGACAATAACCTTGTTTCCCTGTACTTCCCAGTGCAGAAAACTAGGGATGCAAGATTTTGGAATACTTTAAAAAATTAAAATAATAATGACTATTAATCTAATTTTTGTGTAGTTAATCGCAGCCCATTGAATTTAAAGGTCTTATTTGCCCAACTTTGACCTTAATAAAGATTCCATTTAAAAGCAGTGCATTTTGTTATTGCTATATGAGCGGACAAATTAAGCTTCATCAGAATGTGTTTATTAGCTTCAATAATTCGTAAACCTGAGTGAAAAATTACATGAATGCAGGGAGACCATGAAATTAGGGTGAGCGTAGTTTCTAATTTTCATCACAAACGTCCAGTGAGAGCAACAGCGGCTGCATGATCCAACCAATGAATGTAAATATATATACAGTGAACGGTTCCAATTCCTCCGCAACTGTAGGTCCTCACTCTCATACCGCTACGTGATGTCTTGCTTTAAGGGGAACTGCTGTTCTCAGTTTGCAGGTTGGTGACTTTTCCATAGTTCTCTCGTGAGCTCTGTCTAGTGTCGTCTGCTGAAAGCGTCTTCTGGTGCTCTAATGTTACTAATATTAAACAGCATTAGCATTGTGTTCTTCTAAGTGATACTTTGGCCTCAAGAAACTTCAGTGACAAATTTGCAGCATTACCGTAACTGTAAATAAGTTATTTTTGGAAGTCCATTTTATATCAAGAGAGCCATCAAAGGAACTTTCACTTCAAAAGCTGTCTACAAGAGGGCTACAGCCATGGAGTCAAAGCAACAGCACACAAGCAGCTGGACATCAGGCTGAAACAAAGGACTGCTTGAAAGCGTTAAACTAGCAAAACGTGTTAGCGCACTGTGTTAAAAAAGGTGTTTATAATATATCGCATTAACTTTGACACCACTTGTTTATTGTTCTCCAGAACAGAACAGTTAGGTGATGTCCGGCTACAGTGCTGAAATGTCTGCATTTTACTCATTTTATAGCATTTGTATACATACAGAACTAAATCGCTTTGGTAGGAACAAAACCTTGTATCTCCAAAATGATAGCTTTACAGGAGAAGAAAAATACTGCTTTACTTTTAATGCAAGTCAATGGAACCAGAATTTTTTGCAAATAAATTTGGGCCATATTTTTTGGTTTATTCATCATGAAATTTACACACAATGTAAAGGGCAACAGGCATTTTCAGATTATGTCAAAAACCGAAAAACAACAAAAAAAGAGATACACGGTTTTGTTCGGACAACAGCGAAATGTTATATTTCTCTGTAATGCTGATGTAGGTAGATGTACAAAGTTTTTACGCACTGCCATTGGCACATATGTACTTATAAATATGGGATAGTGGCATCGGAGAAAACCTGTTGACTCAACACAAATTTACAATAAAAGACAACAGAAATAACAGAAAACTTGATTAAAAACCCAAAAGAAGTCAAAGAGCAGGCGCTTCAGGAGATCCTGGAGCTTCAGCGCCTGCTCTTTGACTTCTTTTGGGTTTTTAATCAAGTTTTCTGTTATTACCTAAGACACAGGGAAATTACTGTTTGTGGTGATCAACATTGTGCTACAGACACATCGCTGACGATTCATTTGAAAAATGCTAGAGTATTCAAATACACATAGTCTATCTCTCTTTCTCGCACACATACCCACGCGCACATACAAACATGCAAGCATGCTGTCAGCCTAGACCACGTTTATCTGAACAACACTAAAATGGCATGCTGAAAATATTGGTCTCTAAAAAGAGTGGCTGAATGTGCAACAGTGCCTGCTTCATATTGCTACGAACCTTTATTCCACAGAACCGCAATCTGAAATCTTCCGTGACACACAAATACAAAACAGGTGATATGGACGTTAGCTGAATTTCAACTAACTGTGATCCTTTCATTCATCATTCAAACCTTCATTCATAAATGGCTAGCCCTAACAATAACACATGTACATATATGCACGCATTCAAGGTCCAGCATCAACCAGAGCAAACCCTGAGTCAGTCAGTCCATGGAACACGCTCACTGTCTTGCTGTGTGATACACATATGTGCGCACGCTTGTGTGTATGGTCCCTCACCGATTGGTCCGTCATGGCGCTCCTTGTTCCCAGAGCTTTCTTACATTATCTCCAACCACACAGTCCAGCACACACACATGAATACACACACAAACTGATCGTCCAGTCTTGCCGTTCAAAAACACTGATCGTGACCACTTATTGAAAAATCTTGGGTGGTGTTGGTGAACACAGGCTGATGTAAAATGAGCTGACAATGGACAGAGCACTTTTTCAGATACAGCCAATGGCGAATCATCCAGTTCTATGTGACAAACCCCCAAACCCCCCACTTAGTCACGCTTCTCTTTGTATCCTCTTTTGTGCCGCTGGCTGTCGCTGTGCAGCCGGTAAATTTGCACTGGCCTTCAAGAATAGATGGTGATGACCTCACTTCCTCCGCCTCTGACCAACAGGACACGCTCCAGGCCCTCCGTTAGGACCTCCAAAAATTCCATATCTGCGTTTGAGTCAACGTTAATCATGAATGTCAAACATGCAGATGTACAGATTTTTCTACAGATGTAGCCTCCTAGGTCTTTAATGGTGTGCATGCCTAGAATGCCTCTTCTCAATTAAAAACACTGAAATATTTCTCACTTGCAGGAATACATAATAAATGACAAACAAGTTATTTTGAAAATGTGGATCCTCAACTTTGGCTGATACCATGCTCGTATTGATAAGTAGAGAAGTTTGCAGGTTACTGGTGTCCTTGTGAAGAAAGACAATCCATCGTTCACATTTTTACGTTTTTTTTTTTAATTTCTTGATAAATGGAAAACAGTCAAAGGTGCACACCTGAATCTCTGACATAATGTAAATCAACCGTTAATATTAATCATCATGTAAATATGTAACTACATAATCAAATTTAAATAATACAGCAAGAGGACTTTTATACAACTTCCTGTCTTTTTGTCATGCACTAGATAATGAGGCAAAGCGAGGGTATCGCACAAACAATGAGTTTCAGTAATGAATAAACTCTCCAAATGTCGTTATTATCACGTGACACCATCGTACGCTACAGGACTTCTGAAAATATCAGAAGACCTCTGATAACTCAGGGGCTCAATCAGAAGGCAGAGGACTGACTCGTTTCCCCTCTTACACCACCATATCATCCACGGCATCAATCATATCCGATTGAGCTCCTGAGTTGGAAAGACGCTGCTGATAGGGAAGTTTGCTGGAAGGTGTTAAATTTGCACATTTGTATAATCGTGTAGTGTACACCTGGCTTAGGGAACAATGCAGAAGCCATAAAAGAAAGGATACAGTTTTCATCTCCTTCAGAGTTCCTGGGCGGCCCCGGCATGTTGAGCAGGACCAGCCGAGCGTCATGGGACTTGTTTACGATGACCTCATTGAGTTTGACCGCTGTGTGCATGCGCCGCACATTGGAATGGTCCCTGTAAGAGTGTATACAGATAGTTAGTTATACATAGCATGGTGTTTATTTTTTTTAGAACCCAGTTATCTGTTTTTAACCAGAAAGTATAAAACACACACACACACATATATATCTGTTGTCGGCAGAAAACCTCGTATCTCCAAAATGGTAACTTTACAGGAGAAGGAAAAAATCAACTTTACTTTTAATGTAAGTCAATGGAACCAGACTTTTTTCCAAGTCGTTTTGGGCTGTTTCTTTTGGTCCATTCATCATGAACTTTACACACAATGTAAAGGGCAACAGATATTTTCAAATTATGTAAAAAACTGAAAAACGACAAAAAATGGAGATACAAGCATGTATGTCCCCCATGCCCTGACTCACGGCCGCATGCTGAGCATGTCTCTGAAGCCCTCAGGGGTGCTGCAGCCAGACGGTATGTGTGCTTGTGCACGAAGCTCAAGGGCCTTGTCCTTAGTCCAGGTCATATGGACACGCCGGTGTTCTGCAGCACCACCCACTTTATCACCCCCACCCATCCCGTCCGTGTCATCATCATCATCGGAGCCAATGCTGGTCAAGCGCAGCATGGAGTTCCTGTCCTTCACCAGTTGAGCCTGCAAGAGGGTAATTTATACATGGACAGACACACAAAGTCAACTGGTTAATCTTGGGAAAGCTCACCTTTCCTTCACACCTTTGCCTTTGTTCTTCATATAGTTTTATACATAGATAGGCAAACACACACACACACAGACACACACACCATCCCAACCCCAGCAAGCTCTCTCTCACATTCATTCCTATTCATGTCACTATTGTACCACTTTTTGATTGCTAAACAGCATATCTGCAGGTAATTATAAAGCTGTGTTTAGCAGATTGTCCACAAGGGGGATCTACTAGCAGTCAATTCACTTTTGTAAGTGTTACAGAAAAAGAGAAACCCCACCAAAGCAGGATCTCTCGAATGTTTGTAGTTACAAATCTCACATACCTTAAATAAAACTAAATGTTTGTTATAAATCTTGGGAATATGAAGTAAAAGTACATATGAAGAAATGTAGTTTAACTAGATCTAGTCTGAACAGCTCAGCAGACAGCTAACTGGCTACTCCACTTTTTCTACTGTAAAAGTGAAGCATACAAAGTAAAGAATATGCCATCTGAATGTCTGTTAGAAGCCTCAAATGCTTAATATGTCTGTGTTTAAGTAGACCATGCTTAAGTAGTATTAAACCACATGTGGGAAATAAATGTACACCACCGTTAGCTTGGCATTAACAGTGAGCCTCCCTAGAGAAGCAACTAAATGTGCCCAGCAGAAATAAGTATTTTTTGTAAAGCTATGTACTATATGTTGTTTAATTAAGCCCATTTTTATAATTTGAAAGGATACCTTGATTAATCATGAAAATAATCACTAGATTACTAATTTAATTGACACAGACAGTCCTAGTACACATACTAACTACTTGCAAAGGCACATACACACTCACACAGTTAAAAAAAGAGGAAAAGCTACTACTGCAGGGATGTAACTAGTCAACAACTGCTGAAATGAAGAACTTACATCATCAAAACTCCATCGAACACGCTTAAGACAGAGCTCATATTAAAAAAAAAGTTAAGTCAAACACAGCAAAACACAGAAAGCATAACACTCAGTGCAATAAAACAGGACTAACTCTATCCAGTCACTCTAACACACACACACACACACACACACACAAACACACAAACATACCTCTTTCTCCCGGTCAGATTTGGAGAGACGCATCTGCCGGAGCATCTGTGACCGCTGTTCCATCATCAGGGTTCTTTCATATGTATATGCACTGATATCACTGTCATGCTGAAAAACAAGGACAGAAATTAATATGCAGTTGCACTTAAAATCATTCAACCCCTTCAAAGTGCAAAGTGCAAAGTGAAAATTTATCAACCAAGGCTTTAGTAAAGTCAAAGGTTTATTACTACATGTTCAAGCGATTTTGAGAGCAAAGTGGAGTTTACTGCAAACAGTTCAAATGAAAATTCATCCTCTCCCTAAATGTCCATGTGCAAATTATTCAACCCCCAATGTCAGTATTTGGTGGCACATCCTTTATAAACTCAAATAAATGCTTCCAGTAGGAACTACAGGCCAAAACCTTGGTAACAACAATAAAAAAAATAAAAAAAAAGAAATTTAATTTTATTAATAAACTGTTATATATTTATAAATATAGACTCAAGCTATTCAAGCGTGACATTTATGATTAACAGCCAGCAAAGTGTATGAAACATAAGGACCTGGGTGGCTTTTTTTTTTTTAAAGAATATATCATAGTACATAAATATGTAGAAAGTAATGCAGGTATAAAGGCAAAAAGTAACATTGGCACTGTAGTACTAATTGTTTTGTACTCTTGATGTACTAGCAGTTCTTTCCTTCGCTGAAACAATTTTTGTTATGATGTACAAATCCCCAATTTAACTAGCCTCGGAGCAGGTTAAGCATGCAAGTTGTCATGATGATATAGGCTGGTAAAATAGTGATCCAACATTTGAGACACAAAATCTAGGGTTAGATCGAACTAAGCTAAAAAATAGCTGACTAAGCAATAAATGCTTCATCAGGAAACGAGCCCTGGTGTGCTGGATTAGGAGACTTTTATTGATAAAGAGTAAACCACTGCAAACTAATTAAGTATCTATGAAAAAAATCTTAAGTTGAACCTGAGACTAATAAACATCAATAAAAACATTTTCTGGTTTTAGTTGTTGACAAACTGACTTAACTGTAAAATAATTTTACTTTAAAAATATCTTTGCTTGCTTCCATGTTTTTGCCAGTAACTAAGAGCAATTATACATGCACACCATCTCCACGACTTCCACTTCAGCTTCTATGCGCAGGTGGTAGAGGAAGGTGGTCAGATCTTTCTTCATCTGAATTGAGTTATCCTCCATCTGAGCCACTGTGAAGATACGCATCCCGCACTTCCGCCAAACCTAAAACACATACAAATTATTAATACACTTTGTATTGTTAAAAATACATTTATTAGCTATTTAAGCTTTCAGGAGGAATCAGTCAAGATTCTAAGCCCATAACAGTTCCTGTTTCTCTCACTTTGTGTTGGCGCAGGAGAAAAGGCAGGAGCATTAGCATGCCTCCGTCGTGTACAATCCACCACACGTCGATGTAGCCCTCCGTGCAGGGCTCGCTGTTCGTGGGGAACAGGGAGATATTCTTGGGCACCAGCAGAGCAAGGTGAGCCGCGGTGGTCACACGCACCGTGTCTGTAAATCAGAAAGAGAGGATTACATATACACAAAATCAAATAAAAACATCGGCATGTCATAGTATGTTACATACTGCTGTGGAGGACTCTACATATTCTCAAAACCATGTACTGTCTGTGGCCGGTTTTGTATTCATTATAAGTCTTTCGTATTTATTGCACTGTTTTGCACTTGTGTTCCTGTATTGGTCCTGGAGGAATGCCGTTTTTTTTTACTGTGCACTTGTATATAGCTGAAATGACAATAAATCCACCTGAACTTAAATGCCATCTGCAAACAACGGGCGTAGTTGTTTCGTAATTTAAATGGCATAGACGGCAAACGAATCAAATTTACATATATCTCCTATTAACCAAACCATCTATCTTACTATCTCACTCACTCACGGCTAAAATTTATCCACAAGATGGTGCTATTAGCACGCCAGTGGCTTTTGCTGCTTCATAAGAGTGGTTCTTCACATCATGACACTATGTGCCCGATTTGAATTAGTTAAGCATGCACCAAACACCAAACATGTTTTGGCTAATCGACTACGTTTGGAGTAAAGTTGCGTGAATTAGATCTTGTAACTTTCTCCCAATATGCCATACTCCCATATTCTCCAGCTAACTGCTCCACTCTTTCTCCCCTCTCCCTCACTTACTGATGAAGGTCTTCCAGCTCTGTGGGTCTTCGCTCTGTCTCCAGGCATGTGGCCAGCCCATCACAACCGTGTTGGGCCGCATGCCGCCCAGGCCACTCGACTGGATCATGTGACTGATGCCGTCACGTGGCTTTTGGGCCACGATACACTGCACAAAGCCTTTTACACGCTCCTTCTCCATCAGGTGCTTCAGTGTCTGAGTGAGGGAGAAGGCAGAAATAGTCACAAGTATTAAAAAACAAATGCTTTAGGGGCAAAAGACGTTTTAGGGGCAAGAGATGGTAAACCAAGGAGAAGACCGTAAACCAAGGAGGTTCTCTATTTGCCATACAATTACTAAATAATATAAAATAAAACAATGAGTTTTTTCAGTGATCTGATGAACGCATTCACATGCACCTGAGTAATCAGTTGGGTCTCCATGAATCAGGCAATAACAATAATGATTGGATTATTACTTGCATGTAAATGCACTCAATGATTAGACACTAATATAGAGAAAAAATACTATATTAATACAAACATCAAGGGCCCATTTGTGAATGTGGTCCCACACTTTAGTTCCTCATTATCATACCTACATAACAAACTACACTAGTGCTAAATAATAATTCTACTTAAAATAATAATAATAATAATAGAACTAAAAAAATTAGAAGATAAATTATCAAAGATTTGATGTTTGTTACTGGGGTTAATTCCCATTAAACTCAACTTTATTTTCGATGGAGATCACTTTTCTCTAACCATGTTCATGCATCATATTGATCAAAAACCTCTGGAAGTAAAACAAGAAGGACAAATGAATAGACAGAAACAAAGACAGACCTGCTCAGCAGCGAGAGACTCTCCATAGCTGTGGAGAAAGTTCCCAGAGATGACCGTGCCCACAATTGTTAACCCTTTCCCTGCCTTCAGCTGAGAGGCAAACGTCAGCAGACGTGGAGATTTGACGTGAGCGTCCTCGTCCAGCTTCAACAAGACAAGCAGCTGAGGCCTACAAAAAGCAAGAGCAAGACACAGTGAATGAGTGCCGGCCTGAGCGATAAAACGATAACCATAGTGATGAAACTGAAACATTTTTGTGGGTCATAATGCACATTTGAGATATTCAGATGAAATTATTTCACCACTCTGTCAATATTTGCAGCAAAGGCAAGTTTTTGAACAGCTGCTTCTTCAGTACACTAGGTGGCGATGTGCTTCTAACTTTTTTTTTTTAGCTAGATGGGTAGGGATAAGTCTAGCTATTGAGCTTGTAGAAGATTATGTGAAGAGTTGAGAAGAGAGGCGTGAACAGCTGGACAGTTTTACCAGCCCAAAAAAGCCAACAGGTCTCATGCCATTTGCTTAACAGATGTATTTTTTCTTTGAAATACAAAAATGTGTATTTTACTTATGAAAATGATAACTACACACATTACACACAGTTTTCTAAAATGTGCATTCAATCCAGTTTCTGCCTACAATGCTGTCGGTGAAGCCAATAAGCACCTGGCTCTGTGAAGCGCCAGTGGCACAGTCAGAAGCCAGACAAAAAAAAGCAATGATTGATCTGAGCACACCTGCGTTAAATTGAACAAGCCCATTTACTTGCAACAGAACAAATCACTGTAATAGCTAGCTAGTGAGTTATTTTCAGTGGTGAAATTACAGAAAATGAAAAAGGCCGTCTGCGGTAGAGGTAATTACACCTCCTTTGCAGTAGAAACTGGTTCGGTTTTCTCAAATCAAATACCTTCCATTTTAATCAAGGATAAAAATACTATTCACATGTAAAAATTAGCATTAGAAATCATTAGGATCATGCATCATTAGGACCACAATAGAAGTGAATAAGTGATTTTTAAAGGGCTTTTAATTTGTTTTTTTTGTCACATTATGTAGTATTCTGTATACATACAGCATTTGTATCCTGTATTTTGTATCCTTTTTGTATTTTTGTACAACATCCTTCTCTCACTACAATACCCAGCCGTGCCTTCCCTGCAATGGTGATAATGAAATGCACTGACATAGAGGCCAGCAAATCGCTGCTGTCAGAACCTCAAACCTTTTGTTGGACTTTTTTTTTCTTTTACAGAATTTTAAAAAATTCCAGCACCCGTTGCAATGTGCTACAATTTTATGATGAGCAGACCAATTAACTTCTTTTAACTTGCATTCAAAGTAAAGAGTGTTTTTCCTTCTCCTGTGAAGTTAAGATTTTCCTTCGTCATTAGCCAACAAGTGGAAAAACAGAAATAATTCCAAACCTGCCTAATGTAACCACTCTAAAGTGCACATAGTTTTTCAAAACTTCTTCCCACCTTCAGTCTTTAAACCGGAACATGTTCCTCTGGTGACTACTTTGGCCTGGCTCTGGGAGGCAAGTAGGTATGTTTACAATAGATAATTTTGGCCAGAGCGCCTCTTGATTCAATCTATCAATTATCAATCATCACCAAGAAAGTTTGTATTAAGTAACACACTGCATGTCTTTTAATCTGATTTATTTCAATGTGTAGTCAATGTCTTGATGCGCTGTCTGGTGTCAGAACGTTCTTTAACAGCCCAAGGCAGCACTACTGAGGTTGTGCTTGCTAAACAGATAAAGCCATGCTGTAGCCTTCTACGCATCTTTCCTTGCGAAACATGAATGCTGACTTAACTGACTGATGTGGTTCAATCAGAGCTGTCAAAAACTTCATATATCCCAGCCAAACGAAGTTAGCTTAGAAATTTAGCAAGTTACTCATGGCATAAGCAAGGTTATTTTCTCTGGTTGCAGCAGGCTTCTCTGTGGTGTTACTGCATTAGATGCATTGTTGAAACTGGTTATTGGAGAAAACTGCTGTGAATCTCATCTAAGAGTCTCCTCAGTCTGTAAGTTAAATAAGAGGCTCTCAGGCAAACTTTGTGGTAAATACATGCCCTGAAAAGGTGCTCAGACCTTTTTTTTTGGATAACAGCTCTTGCTTGCTTGAAACCACTAGGTTGCCTCCCCTACGATACTATCGTCAATCGTCAATGGCTGGGGGGGCACAATCGTACAACGGCATAATGCACACAATCTTACAAGCATAGTATGTGTTTGTACTTAAGAGGTGAATTTCTCTTTAAAAGGACCTAAAAAGGTGGCGTGCATAAGAACTTGCATACCTCCAGTTCTTTGTGTGTGGTGGGCCCTCCTCCAGTCTGAGCAAGGCATAACGAGCTGCACTGAGAGAGAGCCCTCTGATGCCATCTCCCCACTCTTTCTCTGCTCTGTAACATATGCATAGATACATAACCATCACTTAACAATGGGGGAAAAAAAGAAATCAGCATTTTTTTAATGTAACATTTCTCTTTCTATTTTTTTCTCCATCAACACATTCCACTAGTATGAACACAGGCAAAAGGAAAGTGAGGTATTCAGGTTTCCATGGTAACGTACCCGTGATACTCTATATACTTATAAATCATGCCGGCGATCGCCATGGCGACGATTGCGTAGTACCACGATGAAATGAACATCAAGGCCAGGCAAATAATCATCCCCAAAAACGACAGAGTCCTGAGAGAGGGAGGGGGTGTGTGAATTAAATACACATTTAACAAGATGGCATTTTTCATCGCTTAAGGGGCAAATAGCACACAAACAATATTACATGTGTTTGTACGTGTGTGCGTTTGTGTGTGTGTATTGTGAATGTGTGTACCAGTGATAATAGGAGAAACGAGGTCTCCAGTTGGGGGTTCTCAGCAGTGTCTGAAGGGCACAGGCCAGGTTCACAAAGAGATAACACATCAGAAAAAACCTGCAGAGAGAGAGAGAGAGAGAGAGATAACAATTACATAATGCAGCCTGAACTAACCCATACTCATACCAGGGCTGTTACCTGATCGATTACTAGATTAAAAAAAAAAAAGAAAAAAAAAGAGAACTGATAAAAATTTATGTTCTCAATGAATGTGCTTAGCAATTACTTTGCAATGTAAACAATAAACAGGATATCCGCAGGTTATTATAAACCTCTTTTCAGCAGTCTGAATATCCTCCACAAGGGACAGCTATTAGAGCTCAATCTGCTTTTGTGTACATCACTAACAAAGAGGAAATACACACCAGCGCGTGTATGCTTGTATGTTTGTAGTTACAAAAATCACATATATATTTATACATATATATGAAGTAAAATTAATTCTCTTATAAACTGCATGTATATGATTACTCAATTAATAGTCAAAATAATTGCTAGATTGCTTGATTACTAGTATCATTGATAGTGACCACCCTAAAACACACTAAGGTTGCACAATATGCAGCTTTGTTATTCCAGTACTGGCTTTTGCAATACTGATATCACAATAGGTAAACTAATCACTACATTTTTATTGGGTACTCTGAGCATCCCAACCAGCATCAGGTGAGTGTTTTGATGAATGTAAATAATTTTGGTCAAAACGATGTGGGTTAATCGTTGCCCTCCGATGAGTTTTTAATATATTACAAAGCACGTCACATTCACTATACGTATAAATTAATCACAATCAGTCCACAGGCCTGTCACAATTAATACATCATCACCTGACTGCAGTTATTTGTGCTGATGGCAATTATTTAAGCTGACCACAATTATTTTCCACAGTTGTGTACTTTCATAATTATATGTTTACACTGCAAAAAGCAGAATGTGAATCGGATGCATTTGAAATGCATGCAAATAAAAGCAAAAAGTGCATTTATTAAGACACACAATGGGTCTTAAAATAAAATTTCTAACTTCTGACTGGTGCTGATCAGCCAATTTGGTCTTGTCCTTTAATAGCTGCATACAATGAACAATAAAAATTGTTTAATTGGATGGACTGTGACTGGCCTATCTGTCCATATCGTGCAGTCCTAAAACACACATACATGGAGAGAATAGGTGCAACCAGGTCCAGTGAGGCAATGAGAATGCCAAGCTCAGCGATGAAGGCGGTCAGCAGCAGAGCCCATGTAGGTTCTCCATTGGCCTTACCATGACCAAAGACCTATAGAGAGCAAAAATAACACCACAATTATAACAAACCTACAGGGGAAATATTTCACAGCATCAACATAGCAACACACTTAAGAGCACACAAATACCTTAAATATTACTAAAAATGTACAGTATAAGTCATTTCTACTATTACTGTGACCAAACCCTAAAGAATAAGTACTGAGAGATTACATCTAAAGAGAATACTATCAATTACACTGATTAAACATTATCATAATTATCAAAAGCTTACAGAGAGATCAAAACCAAGCATCTATGAACAACATTATCACATTACCAAACACCCACAGAACAATTAAATAATACCGAGACATGCAAACTTGTGATCAGTGAGAAAAATCACAAGTTCAGAAATCTGTTTCCTGTAGAAGAGCCAGTTTTGATGATTTTAACACAAAAATTAAGCATTCTGGTGCTCTCAGGCTAAAATACAGGGAACTGAGTAATTGTTATGGAGGGTTTTTTTTCAAAACACATTTTAGACCACTTTGAAGACTTCAATGATATACACTATTAACAACGGGTTTTACACACAGAATAAATGTCAATGCTATATAATGAATAACACTACCTTTCTTAGAGAAATAAAAATGTGTTTCCCATATCAGCTGTTATTCCTTCCACATCATATTATGTTTAACATTTTTACACATGGATATACAGTATTTGAAAAGAAACTCCTCAAATGCAAGTCCTGTCAAAATTTGTATTTTCTAACCATTTTGAATTACTTTTTAAAAAAAGGATTTTTTAAGATACCAAGGTCAAAAGGAAAATATAAATGAAATATTGTGTCTTCTTTTGAATCCACTCAACAACTATTATAAATACAGGCCATTCTAAAAATCTTCCAATCATTTGTGATCTGTCTTTTAAAAAGCCTATGCTGGTTCCATATTGCCCCAATGCAATATGTAGATGATCCCTTCACTCTCAGTGATTACGGTAGTGGTTATAACCAAGGTTTTCACAGCACATGAATGCCAGACCACAACACAAGCAAGAAAGACATCTTACTCTCAAGAAGGGAATGATGTTGTCTTTAGCGATGGCTTGCAGAAGTCGTGGGGCACCAGTCAGTGATTGGAGGCCAGCGCCACAAGTCGAGAAGAAAGAGCCAATCACAATGACCCAGGGAGATGGCCAAGAAAGTGTGCCTACAACTAAGTTCCCATTCACTGAGTCTCCAAACCTGCAGAGGAAATGAAAGAAACCTGCAATGAGTGCTAGAAAGAGCAAAAGCAAGAAAGAAAGTGCAAAAATAAAGTGGAAGAAACCAACTTACTTGTCTCGGAGTACCACTCCCTCCACACAGGCTCCAAACAGCACCACACTGCTCAGATCTGTTTCTGACACTCAGGAAAACATTACAGTAAATTATGCATAATGCATACTAGTTAGAGGCTGCTGGGAGTATGGTTTTGGATTGTTTTATGTTGCTCACCCTTCTGGACTTTTATTTTGATGTATTACTTAAATGCAATAACAATCACAGTAAAATGTAATTAAATTATACTTAATTATGTAGTGCATTACATTCATATTCATTGTCTGCATGTACGCAAGCGTGGAAGGATACAGACTAGGGACGTGGTAAGGATGGCTAGAATAGTCCCAATAGGAATAGAGCGCTGAGCATCCTTCAGATCCCCTGACCGGTTAGAGCCTGCCATAATACCTGTGGAAGAGAAACAGAGAGTGAGAGCAAAAGAAATATCTGTGTCAAATCTCACTGTAAATGTACATTCACCAATGTATTCCACTTTATGAACGCCACCTACTTTATAGGTCCACTATATAGTTATACAATTACACACTGTAGCCCATCTGTTGTCAGACAATTTATACATGTGTCAGCCTTAATTTCTGACCACAAAACTGCTGTTGTCCAGAATAGTGGATAATGGTCCATTCCCAGCACAGCAGTGACAATGACATGGCAGAATCTCAGAATCTCATTGTCACCTAAATATATTGACAATACGATGGCCAACATAGTTTGTGCGTCAATAGATGGGCTGCAGTATCTTCACTGCACTATCAGCAAGGAGGAGCTACAAACCAGAGGTTTGTGATAAAGTGGCTAGTAAGTGAATAAGACAAATGTATTGCTGGAGCAACCTGAGAAAAAAAACAAAGAAGCACCTGTGACAGAAGGGAAGAAAATTCCCACCAGCAGTGTGAAAGAGGTGGTGATGTCAGCGAAGACATATGGATAGTTGTGGTTTACGTGGATGGGGCTGGCAGTGGGTTGAGAATGTCGCTCCAGGAGATCCCCTTTACTGAGGTATGAACTCCATAAGTTTTCTGGACAGAGACAACACAGTTAATGCATGTTCTTAGGCTATCACCATCACTAGGACTATCAGTAGCAATTATATTATATACTACTGGCTTTCATCGGTTGTCAATAAACACCGTCACTGCACCCACAAATGCAAGTCAAGACTGTACTACACACAGTGGAAGTCATATAACAACAGTGTCCGGAAACGCTGCTGAATTCTCTGGACTCAAGCTCATCTGAAATGGACTGATGCACAGTGGATACAGTCCCCAAATTATTATTACATCTTGTTAAAATGAAAGTGATATAATACAGTGGTAAAACAACTTTTTTGGAATGTGTTGCATGAGTATATATTTACAAAAACCAAAGTTGATAAGGTAATAAATATTGTGTTTTTGTAGTTTTCAATTTAATACATGTCAAACAGACTTTGCTAATCATTGCATACCGGTTTTATTAGCATTTCACATATTGTCCCAGCCTTTTTGGAACTGGGGTTGTAGATTACAGAGACTGTTTCTTACTTTCCAGCCTTCTAAAAATCCATAACAAAATGTAGACTAAACTGTCATTCTCAATATTCTGCTTTAAATTTTAGTGCTTTGTGTTAAAGATGGAAATCAAAGTTTATCGGTAAAAGGTTGTTTATTTCTGAGCATCTACAATGCCACTATACCTCCACTGTCAAATACCAGTATTCCCTCTGTCAGTTGCAGACATATGCATGTGTAATACCTGTAATGACTCCACTTGCAAGTCCCGGTATCCCTTTGATCTCTGTGACGTTGTTGTGAGCAAAATAATCATCACACACTGCATTCAGTTCTGAAGAATTACAGAAACGCATCCATAATACTGTTGTCTTCTCAACTGTTACTGGCGAAGCAGGAAAGGTGTCCGTGCCATTTAAGCCTGAGGTAACGTTAATGCTCACTTCTTCAGGCACCGGTGGATCGTGGGGCACTGGAATCGTCTTGTAACATTGATTGTCCCCGCCGAGTTCATGGCGAGAAAGAATTCGGTTCCCCAGCATACACACCCTGAGGAGAGGCAGGGGACTGATTGGTCAGATGCTCCATCCATAATTAAAGCTCTAAGGTTTTCCTCTATAAGTTGACTAATTAATCGCAGTACTAAAATGTCAGCCAACAAAACATTTATTTATTTATATATTTATATTAAGGCTATTGAATAATTAAAACATTTCAAATTTACATTCAAATATAATAGCATTTATATAAACAGCAAGAATGGCCTGGGTTCGATTCCCGGCTGGGGTGGCCAGGGTCATTTCTGTGTGGAGTTTGCATGTTCTCCCCGTGTCTGCGTGGGTTTCCTCCGGGTTCTTCGGTTTCCTCCCACAGTCCAAAGACACGCAGTCAGCTGGACATGCTAAACTGCCCCTGGGTGTGAATGTGTGTGTGTGAATGTGTATGTCTGTCTGTCTGCCCTGCGATGGACTGGCTACCTGTCCAGGGTGTATCCTGCCTTCCGCCCAATGACAGCTGGGAAAGGCTCCAGCACCCCACCGCGACCCAGAAGGATAAGCGGTTTAGAGGTTGTGTGTGTGTGTAGCTGGCTATGCTTAGACTCCCCCTTAGTTTACAAATAGGCATGCTACAGCTTAGAGAACAAAATATTTCTAAGCAATTTTCATAAAAACAATGTAACACAAAAAAAGGAAGTTTTAAATGCTGTAGTCTGTTATGTTTAATAATGTTTAATACTATGTTATGGATTTAGTATTTACCAACTGTGATTAGTTAACTCTTGAAATTCAGAAAAGTCCTAGTGGGGTACAACCCTATAAAGCTCATTTATAGACTAACAGGCAAGTGACTTGCAAAGGCATCTATCATTTGCTAAGGAATTAGCCTCATGTAATGGCTGTAACTAAGCTTGTTTTAATCACAAACACGCTATGCTTAGAACTGGCCACAATCAAGCTTAAGAAGCATTCTGATTTGTACTCACGGGAAAGTAGGTGGTTTGAAGGCAGACACCAGAGCGCCGGTGTAAATGGAGAGGATGGAGACGATGACGCAAGCCAGAAACATGGACGCCAACTTGTTCACATATTTGACCCCCACAAAGACCAGAAGAGACATGAGCAGCAAGAAAATGGAGCCATAGATGCGCATGTTGTTCAACATGGCTGCCGCCTCGCCTTCGGGCTGTTTTGAAACAAAGATTGCGGCTCCTGGAGCCATGTACATCTGAGCAAAAGCAAAAGCGAGACACAAGAAACAATGATACTGAGAGGGGATGTTATCCTCCTGTAAACAAAGTACAGTTAGAGAACAAAGAACTCTAGTAACAAGTTTACTGACTCTTCCAGGCTCCGCCCACAAATGCATTCACAGCAACTGTTGTTGAACTGCTGGAGGACAAATGGCTCATTTAGCCTGCTGATAAATAGTAGCATATTTTTATAAAATTAAAAAAAAATGATAGATTATTAGATTATTTTCAAGGGCCGCACAGTAGCCTCACAGCAAAAAGGCCTGGGTTCGATTCCCCTGCCAGGCGACCAGGGTCATTTCAGTGTGGAGTTTGCATGTTCATCCCATGTCTGTGTGGGTTTCCTCCTACAGTCCGATCTGGAGATACCAAATTGGCCCTAGGTGTGTATGTCTGTGTGTCTGTCCTGTGATGGACTGGTGACCTGTCCAGGGTGTTTCCTGCCTTCTGCCCAATGAGAACTGGGATAGGCTCAAGCACCTCCCATGATCCTCACCCCTAGGGGCAATTTAGCATTCCCAATTGGCCTAACTGCATGTCTTTGGACTGTGGGAAGAAACCAAAGCCCCAGGAAGAAACCCATGCAGACACGGCAAGAACATGCCAACTTCACACAGAAAGGACCCTTGTCACCCAGCCCGGGAAACCGAACCCAGCTAATTTCAAAGGGTATTTATTTTATATGCATAGAAAAAGTTATAGATAGACGGGATGTAATTTGTTGCTATGCAGTGCAGGTTTGATTGATAGGCCAAGCAGAAAATTTACTTCGACTTTTTAAGAGTTACCAGCAAGCTAATATAACGTATATGCATACAGCTATGTGGAAGTTAATGTAGGGCATTTGCCAACATTTTCCTTGTCATTCTCTGTCATCCTTACCATGTACACTGACATTACAGCCAAAACAGAAAGTGCAACAATTTGCTGTCTTAAGCAACAGCTGTAAGGCTTTGCTTTAAAAAATCAAATTTGTTCTAAGATTCCAACTTGACACAAGGTGATGTGAAAGAATGCATCTGTGGGCGGTGCATAAACAGGCTGACTGTTCACACGTAACACTATTCCACAATTGTTCAACTGTAACACATGTAAAACTGGAAAAGGTGGTAACAGAAATGTAGTAAGTTCACTATAACACTAGTTAACTATTACTAAATTAAGCAGTTATCAGAAGGTGAAAGGTGATATTTAATGAGGAAGAGCATGAGAAAGGCTGCCGCACCAGCAGGATCTCGATGGCCCCGAGGATGTACATGGACCCAGCGAAGGTGGTGCCCAGATAAAAACATAATCCCACAGCACCCCCAAACTCTGGGCCCAACGAGCGCGAGATCATAAAATACGAGCCCCCGGCTACAGGAAAACAGAGGAAGAGAGAGAGACACAAAGAAAAAGAGGTATTAGTGTATCTAAGTTAGTCTACTGAAACTCTACAGCTGTATGTTGATGCTACAACTACAACTGTCAAAGTACAAGTCAGAAAGGAGCATGCTAAGAGGACAGACGAACTGATGTTGACTTTCTTCAACATCTTCAGTCTTCAAACAGCACATTGTATAAAGAGGAGAACACAATGAAATTTACAGTGGTTTACAGTGAAAATGTTTTTTTTGGCTTTGCAGCTCCAATTCACAGATCTTCTGCTCAATTTCAAAGAGAAAATCAGGTTCAGATTTTAAGAGTTCAAACACAAATTGGGGTTACAAGAGCTGCAAACCAGCTAGAGGAGAGTTTGTGTCCAATAAAAAAAAAAATAGAAGCATAATGAATACTACTATTACTTCATTTTAAAATAGCAATGATTTATAGACACTGAATTTAGGGGCAGGCAAAATTATCATAATTTATTATTATTTATCATTACACTTTTCTGGGTAAATATCATCAGTACTTAAAAACACATCCAAACAGCTTTGTTTTATGCAATGTTTCATTATGATGTGAGCATAAATAGACTTGTTTGATTAGATGTAGTGCACTGCAGTTTAAAACACACTAAATATTTAAAATAAAATAAATTGTATTTGCAGGCTTTATTATTTTTTGCCATATTGCCCACCCACACTACATTTTTTGGCCCATATCTGGTATGACATTATACGGATTCAATCTGACTATGGCTCTTTAGAAAATGTACAATGAAATCTGAAATTCCACCATTATTAGGCTATATTCACGTTACCAAGTTGAAGTAGCTTTCCGTTATTGATCAAAATCAATATCAAAATGTTTTTTGAAGATATTACAGTATGAGGCATCATTTCAGCTGGCATTAATACAGTTAATGAACCGGTTCTTCCTGAGTACTTCTACTCTATGCTAAAAGAATATTTTAATTTGAAAATTATACAGACACAAACCACATTTCCACATATCACATGATACACAGGAAACTTTATTTGTGTTCTTAATTTTGAGACAATCTGCAACACCCAGGAAATGACTAAAAACAAACAGTCTTAAATATTTTTAAAATAATTTAGAATCTAAGTTTAATTAGTTCTAAGATTCTAAAATTAATGTGACTGAAGCACCACATTTAGATGAATTGTTGTACCCTTAGTCCTTATCTATCAAGCATCT